GAGTGTATAATTCCACTGCTTATTAAAGGGATAGTTCAGTTTCTGTATAGAGTACAAATGGAGGATAATTAAAGAATCTTTAAACAGTTTTCTTTCATAACAGTTCACGGCGACCACATCTGTCAAGATACAAAAAGGACAAAACAGCATAAAAGTGGTCTGTATGACTCATGTGCTACATTTTAAGTCTTCTGAAGTCATATGATATTTTAAGAACTGCTTCTTGTTTATCCAGTTCACGAACTGGACTGAAAGTTTCATTTATAAATCAATCAAGATCATTAAGTCAGTGATTTGAATTCAAGAACCAGGTTGTGTTTCCCAAAAAGCATCGTAATCCTAAGTAGATCGATGAAACCACTGGCACCAATAGTGTTTGCAATCTATTTAAGGCCTGTTCACACCAAGGACAATAACTATAAAGATAACGATAAAGATATAGTTCTGAAAATCGTTCTCAATATTAAAGAATAGCAGATAAAAATAATGATAAAGGCACAGAGAAACGATATCAATGGAATCGCTTTCAGAACCATTTTTTCCAGCTGATGAACGATAAAAACATTGACACCCAATCGGAATCAATCCTGCTGTAATGAGCTCGAGAATTTAAAATGGCAGACAAGCGTGCACTTAGAGTAAACAGACAGATATTGTCCGAACAAATAGATACTGTCCGCTGGTGTGGACACTAATACAGTTATCTTATAGTTATTGTTCTTGGTGTTAATGGGCCTTTAAGCTTACAATGCTTTTTGGAAATGTAACCCAGTCTGATTCATCAGTGAATCATTCAGTCCAATTTGTGAACAGAATTAATAGATCAGTGAAAAGAAGCAACTCAAATAAATGATTCGTTCACAAATCTGACTAGTCCAGTTCGAGTTCAACTCACTAATGTGATCTACTCAGGCTTATAATGCTTTTGAGAAACGCAGCCCAGTCTGATTCATCAATGAATCATTTAGTTGCATTTGTTGAATGCTCAATGAATAGAACCAACTAAAATAAAAGACTTGTTCACAAATCTGACTAGTCCAGTTCAAGTTCAAATCACTGATTCAGTGATTCAGTTAAAATTGACTTTTTTTTTGTCATTTTTGGAGCTTGAAAGACAGTCAGTATGATGTTATGATCTGTCAAGGATGTGTGAAGATTCTGATTCTTCACAATGATTCTTTTTCCATGACAAGAGTGTAAATATGACTCAAATTAAACTAATGCCTTGCATAAAAAATATTCTTCTAGCGGTAAAGAGTAGAGCATTTACTTTTCACATTAATCAAGAAAAACTACTAGGGAAACTGGTGTGAAAGTGGATGATACAAATACAAGAGCATTATTTGAAGTGTGAGTGTTAATGCAATCAGTGTCACAATAAACTGAGAGGCTGAAATGCTGAGTGGCTTATTCTGACAATGATGACACATCAGATGAACTAACAGTCACTGGCCATTGTTGGGAGAGAAGAGGTTGATATACGTCAACCCTGATCTTCATCCACACCCAACCTAGACTGGATATCATCACAAATGAGACAGTTCATGAATTTCTTATCACATCTGATCCTGAATAACCCAACAGCGCTGTTATGAGGCATGAAGACATGGCTGTCCTGCTGCGGCGGCCCAGATGCCAAGTCCATTGGGAGAGGCTTGGCTCCCGTTCAGCCTAATGAAAGCCTTGTCTGCTGCTCCCTGCATCCTTAAAACCAGATGGATGAATCTGTCCATTAATTCCTATCAGTTACTCCATATCATTTACCCAACGATTATTCAACACCATATTGACTCATTAGTACACTGTAACAAGCAGAAGGATAAAAATTAAGCCATTTGTCTTTTGGTAAATGATATAAGATGCAGGGGAAATTTGCTGCAGTACAAGTTACGTATGACACATTTTCCAAAGCAGTCATTAGTCACACTATATAAACTTGTGTTACTGTCCACCAGCAGTGTGGTGTGGTCATCTGGACATCTGCACTAACCTACAGTAGCATAATGAAACAGTTCTGGGCATGAAAGCAGATTGAGGAAAACATGTCATGTTTGTTTGTTTGAATTTATTTATAAATATAAATATAATTATTTTTATATAATTCATAAAAATAAACCGTAGTAAAAACATGGTCTGAATTTCGAATGGTGTAAATTTACTTATTTGTTTATTTATTTATTACATCAAATAGGATATTGCATGATGCATTAAATAGGATATCATTTGAATTAATAAATTACTACTGATATTTACACTTTTCAACTAAATTGGGCATTTATAATAATTCATAATTTATTAAATATGACAACTGTAATTGTTTTATTTTTATGTTTCCTGATATTTACACTTTTCAAATAGGAATTGGTTATTTCTTCTTTTAAAACAACAACAACAGTCTTTGTGGGTAAAATAACACTGTATTATTTGCCTAAATTATGTATATTTACATGTATGCCAAGATAAAAACTAGCAACCTTAACCTTAACAGTAGTTGTATATTAAATGAGCATAAATATAAAAGGCATGCTTTTATTTATATTATACATATTATAATATATTGCATGTTGTATTGTGTGTGGTTGGTTTTTATGTTTGTAGTCCAATGATTATTAATTTCTTATGCTGTCAAAAACAGAAATTAAACATTAATGAAAAATAATTCAGTTGTAAAAACAATACCAGTCAATCTGAAAACTACTTTATAATGACTCCAAAAAAATATTTTTATGTCTTATTACTTTGAGTGCACAGGTTAAGAAAGAGAGAGATCCAACACATCCAATAAAATCAATCACACACTACCTAGACAAATCTATAGTCAGCATGATTGGATTCATTGTGATGCATGAGTGCACTTGTGTGTAACGAGTTAAATTCTGCACACACACGCAGAAAATTACATTTCTGCAAGGTCAAAATATTCCAGACCACTGGGCGCCGCCCAGCCCCCTGTCAACTCGATGGCAGGACTGCAGAGTAAACTGTCACTCACACGAAGATGTGATTCCCGCACATCAATTCACCTGGAACGGGCTGCTATCTGTCTGTTTGCTTTGCTTAACATCAACCTGTCAGCATCTGTCCAGTGTGAACCTTCACCAATCCCTGTACAGACACTAAACATGACATGACAAGCAGAATAGTGACTTCTCCACAGCTATTCTTCTTGTTGGATAAAATGCACCATCAACAACAATCAAATGATTTCATTTTGTTGCAATCATCACGTTCAACACCAATAACGTTATCTTTATCACATATGGGGTCTAAGTCTTCTTACAGTGTAGCATCTCACTATCCAACCTGCTAGGCTTGAATTCAGCAGCATTTAGAAAGCAAACAACAAAAGGTCACTGAATATGCATTAACATCCTACTCAGAGCTAAAGCAGAATCTCACACCACTGCAGCAAAACATTTGTACATGTCAGTGATAATGCAGTTAGATAATGCATAATCTTTAGCTGGGGAAAAATGTGGAACTGCTGACGTAAAGTCTACATTTTCATCCTTCTTCTCAAACAGATGAAGACAGACAGCCGAGCATTTACTGTGCCAAAGCGGGCAACAGCTGCTATATTGAGCAGACGGGGCTGGTGAAACTTTCTCAAGACTACTGTCTCTACTTTATTTTAGCAGATTCCCACTTTACATAGGTGTTTCTGGTAGCAAAAGAGAACACAGAACAAGCTTAATGGAAAAGGGGTTATGAAGTCTCTTCATGTTATCGTAAAACTAGTAGCTCCTTGGAAACTGAATGGACTTATTGTATCATTACTGTGGCAAATCCATCCAATGCCACACTTGTCTGATGATCGTGTAAGCAGTCTTTCAGTATCTGGACTACAAATCAACAATATATATTTAATCGCTGCATGTATCAACACAACATGGCAACCCGTTCAGCATAATTATACCGCCTTTGTTACCAACAAACCTGTCATTTTTAAAACAATCTCAATTAGTCTTGCGCTGCTTTTACACCAAATGAAATATTTAACATGTCTTTTACTCACTTTGACAAACTGCAAGAATAGTAAAACAACTTATGCATAAGGCCCTAAATTTTCCCCACTCTAGTGAAATTCATGTCATGCATGAGCAATGGTGCATGATGGAGGAAATTGCCTGGGAAAAAAAAAAAGGAGAAAAGCCATTTCTCAGTAGCATCTGTAGTAAACTAAATGCACTAAATCCTATAGTAATAATAATACTGTACTAAATACTCGAAAGAGGATGATCATTTTGTCTGTTTGTTAATATCAGGTTTAACACTAAATGGAAAAATCATGTCATAATTGAGTGTCAACAATATTCTTATTTTTTAAACAATCAAAATGCATCAAGTGTTTTGTTGCAGTAAAATGACTATTTGTTTCCATTGTGTCAAAAATAGACCATAATTAAAAATACAAGAATCAGTTTAAAATGATTATGGGACACTAAAATAATCAGTATCCAAAAAAAAGTCAGTGCAGTGTCATTTAAAATATGCATCATACAAGTCATATAATGCACCTAATTCAGATGATTTATCAGCAGGCCTTGCATGAACTTTATATGTACTTCTAGAGACAAAAGATCTATACAGGAGTGGTTACAGCCTAAGAAAACTAACAGCTATAAAAAGTGCAAATATTATGTGATGGCATGACGTTCATTCTACATTCACAGTGAAACAATGGAGCATGAAGACAGTCATAGATACTGTGTCAATCTCAATGACCTAAAGCACAGCCCCTGAAATAAAGGGGAATCTACATCCTGCAGATATTTTAAGACTTCCTCACATCCTCGGAGAAGGTGGACCCTGAAACACTGTAACAACCGTGGGTAACGTTTACAAAGAACAGAGGCAGATTTCAGCCGCCAAGCCACAGAGATGCGTGTCTCCTGTACAAACGTCAATGAATTATTCAACACATGTATCCGCGCATTCACCGCAATGACAAAATGAGTCTAATTTGGAAAGAGGCAACGGTAAGAAACTAGTCCACTCACGTGAAATTTGGGCCGGGTTTGGAGAAGAGTCAGCATGAATAACGGGAGAAAGCGTTTTTCATTGTCAATATCCGATAAATAAACCCGGGGTAAATAATCCGGGTTTTACGTTTTTTTTTTAAATGAAAAACTGCAGTCCTTTTCTCCGAATGGGAGAGTCGGTAAGGAGGGGACAGTGAACTGAGATTGTGGGCGTGTGCGAATGCAAGAGATGTTCGTTCATTGGTCAGCACCGGTATAGGAGGAGCTACGGTAGCCAATAAGAGTCCGTATTTTGGAATATGTAATTATTTAAAATCTATATCTGAAAAGGGGTGATTCACTGGTTGTTGGGCTTTTGGTTGATTCCAGTGACTTGAATCTTTTGAATCTAAAAGAAAGATTCCTTAAGTGATTTGTTCACGACACTTTCTGAAGGATGCAACGGTAAATGCCACTATGTGTAAACAAGTGTTTTGTGTTATCAAGTTACCAATCACCCAACAAGTTCGTAAAAAAAAAGAAAGAAAGAAAAAATGACAAGAGAATTGCAATCATATTACAACACTAATTCATTCCAAAGGGGAGGATACATCGTAGGACAAACCCTGGAAAGATGTCTTAAAGGGGTCATATGATGTTGCTAAAAAGAACATTATTTTGTGTATTTGGTGTAATGAAATGTGTTTATGCGGTTTAAGGTTAAAAAAACACATTCTTTTCCACATACTGTACATTATTGTTTCTCCTCTATGCCCCGCCTTTCTGAAACGCGTCGATTTTTACAAAGCTCATCGTTCTAAAAAGCGAGGTGTGCTCTGATTGGCCAGCTATCCAGTGCGTTGTGATTGGCCGAATACCTCAAGCGTGTGACGGAAATGTTATGCCCTTACCATATTGTGATTCCTTGTCCTGGCCGGAGCTACGAGACAAAAACATTAAAACCCATTATAAACGAGGCATTTGTTGCATCCAGTGGGGACATAATTACGGATTATAATGACTTATACTGTCTTTTTACGCGTCTTTTTACCATGTCTGCATTTGTGATCGGAGAAATGACAAATGACAAACTACAAACGCTACTCTACACTGCTCAAAACTCACGTTTGAATCATCAGTGACAAATTCTTTAAATATAAAAAACATACAGTCTGTGAGTCAGATAAGTCTTATCTAAGTAGATAAGATGGCGCCGACGCTGATGGCTGCCTCCGTGGCGTGCTCCGCAGTTGTTTTTATGTTTTTGTTAGTTTGTCCTGTCTTTAGTTATATCCCTGCAATCAGTTTCACCAGAGACGAATTGCTGGACATTCGGAAGTACACACCACATGTTAGAACGAGCCGTTTTAGGTAGGAGTGGCTGACTCTTAACTTTTATAAAGAATATCTCTTTGGATTTGAGACTTTAGTCTTTGCAACTTTATAGATCTTCTTTATGCACCAAGAGCTTGTTCTCTCCAAAGAGAAAGGAAAAATTTAAATAGCATCTTATGACCCCTTTAAGATAGGAAAACATCTGGTCCTTTTTTTTTCTTTTTCTTAAACCCAAATCTGTCAAAAAAAAAAAAGTCAATTTATGACCATAGATGAGATGAGTGAAAGGCTGTATGGGTGGGGTTATGAGGCTGCATAGTCTAAGGGTTGGGCTTTGTTTACAGTTGGGTGGGGGAGGTATGACTGAAGTCTTGGGCTTTCATTATGAAGGTGGTGGTTGCTATGGAGACTGCATCCAGCCTAAGGCAGCCAGATGGCAGAGGCAGACTGTCTCCCGAGCCACGTCAGCAGACATTAAGACATAGACTTAACATTATTATACATTTGTCCGTCATGTGCATCATGGTGTGCTCTGCCAAAAAAAAAAAAAAAAGGTCAGCTGATGTTATTTTTTATTAATTACTTAATTTCAATTTTTTATTACACTTCCAACCAATAGATAAAATATTGGTTAAAATTTTGTTGTATAATAATAATAACTTTGAAAAATGAAATTTTCTATTATGCTTGCAACCAATATATTATATACTTGTAATGATAATCTCATTTTATAAAAAATAATTTAACAAATTTAATTATTTAATCTTTAACACATTTATATTTTATATTATACTATTAAATATTGGTTAATCAAAATTTTGTGTTTTACATAATAATAATTTAATAATTGTGTGTTTTTATACTGTGATAAAGACCTATCATTCCAACATTTCTGTTATTAAATTTACAAACTGTTTATTCATATATATTTAAAGAAATTAAATACATCTCTTCAAGCATCTGAAATAAACAGCATCCAGCATTTACATGTACATGTAAAATCATACATATTACACAGTTCCTAGGCTTTTTTTTTTAAATCCGACACATTCCAAGAACCATTTTCAGTATCAGCTGTCCTATAACCATAGCATGTTGTGACATTCAATCAGTGCTTGACCCTTTATTCTCAGTTCTTTGAAACTGATGATGATTCACTCACACAATCAGCCAAACACCCCTTCCCCCAAAACTCCACCCCCACAGGGTCTCAGGCTGTCTAGAAGGCACTTAGAGCACCTAATGCAGACCTGTGGGGACCCTATGACGTTATCTATTCTCCCTAACTAAGCCTCAATGTCTTTATCGAGGATAAGCCCCCTTTAGCTTCTCATTAGTCAGAAGCTCAGCAGGCTAAAACATTTACGACCATCAAGTAGCACAGGAGATCTTGTTATCGTCACATCTACATAACACACACACACACACACACACACACACACACACAAAAGATAAATATAGCTGGCCTAAAATGTGAAAAATAACACCATATTTATTTATTTATGATTTAACGCCATGTCAGCAGCAGAAATAGCACCATATAAAAATGCACGTAAACATCTTAGTGTATGATTGACTCCTAACTGGAACATGGTCTCTAAATTTTCTTGAAATCATATATTGAGAATCAAATGCAGAGGTCTTACCAGCAATGACTCAAATAAAAGGCCTTCTTTCATTTCTAGAGCACTGAAAACCACAAATTACATGAAACTCTCTATTCCCAATTTCATCATGTAGGCGAGTGTTTTGATCCGTGGACTGGTCTGTCATCATTTCAGACCTACAATGACCATTCAGAGGCAATTTTCAGAAACATGATGTGGTACGAGCCACATCATGTCAATAGAATAATAATAATAATAACAATTGATAATAATAAACATTACATTCTTCATCAGACAACACACTGTCTGACTGTGTACTCAAAGAGTACATATTTTCAAAGAAAAAATATTTTTGTTACAATTTGTGGTTTTATGCGGTGAATAACAACCAGGTTAACCAGCTATTTTGATTGCTTAGTATATAATATAAAATAAGAATAATTAGTCTTAGTCTTGGCATTGTGAATGGTTCATTTTTGCAGATACAGATGCAGTATCATCATGGAAAATGTCATGTACTGCCCCCTTGTGTTGAAGAAAGCACACTGCAGGCAAAATTTCTAATTTTCTACTGATCTCAACACTGTTTTTAGACGCTGTGTAATTGCATGTGCATTATTTTTTCTCCTTTTATAGTAGTTGCTTGTTTCAGCAAGCAATAGTGACAGAGCACCAAGCTTGTTTTCAATAAACACAGCATGACACCTAGCATGAATGCCTGAATAAATAGAAAACATGTTTTTAAGATCATGGGTCTACGCTGTCAGAATCAAGCTCTTTTGATTTTGATTCTTTTTCACGCCAACGCTTAAATAAAGACATAAGGCTGAAGCCCTCTTTAGTGCTTTTAAATGATATTGTTTGGCTATTTCTCTTCCCAGTACTAAACTGCAAGCTAGGCACTGTCTCTTCAGTCTTCGCCTCCGGCTCGACCGATTGTGATTGTGGTGAGTCAACAGATTGTGATTCCTCTTGCGAATTAAGTGGCTTGGTGTCTGAATCTTTAACAGTCTCTGTAGAGTTTTGCAATGTGGCAATCATACCGCAATCCACAGATTTCCCTTTTCCAATAACACCTATAGAGGGAGCCGGAGATGCGTTTAGATTACTAGGCACAAACAGATCCTCTTGGCTGGTATTTCCACAACTGGCCTCGGGAAGTGCAATTGTGTGCCGGCGATTGATGATCTGGCCGTTCTGCAGCAGAGAGCTGGATTTAGAGGTGTTTTCTTCTATGGTCACGATCAGCAGTCTTCTGTCTTCCTGGAAGAATGTCTGCCTGGGAGACAGGATCGGTGACAGGGCCTCGCTGGATGAAATGCTACTTCGACTGGACTGGTATTGCAAAACTTTCCGTGACACCTCTCTCATATTTTGCACCTCTATCTCTGTCTGCACATCTTCTTCCTCCTGCACCGTGAATACAGAGACACGTTGATTGATTGAGGAATTAGCACTTTTCTGCACTGGGTTTGAGATTGTAATCTCTGGGTGCTTGGGTGTCTCATCTTTATCAACGCTCTCCTTAATCAAAGGGAATTGCATGGCACTTTTGATCCAGCTGTCTCTCTTGACCTCTCTGTTGTCAGCGGGGCGTTTCTCCGGCATGGTGGTCTCAGTAAGATTGCCCCGTGAGGGGGAACTGGTCCCGGCTCTACGGCGGGACTGGCGGCTGTTAAACCTCTGTAGGATGTTCTCCAGAGCAACTCCTTCAATGTCTTTGTCTCGTGAGGAGCAGGTGGCGGTGGAACGTCGTTTGGCCGCGATCTGAGTACGCTCTCGCTGTCTGCGCTTCACCTCCACCATTTCTCGTTCAAGATTCTCCTATATGGAGAAGAGAAATGAAACGGGCTTAAGGTCATTATTTTTTTTTACTTTTTTTTTACCTGGTTGAGGAGGATGAACAATATCATTACAGACGTCTGTTGCAGCCATTACTGAAATCATGACAAAACTGTTTTTGTCTTTTTAAAGTGACAATATCTGAACACTAATAAAATACTAATAATATAAACAAAAAAAACAGAAATCATATTTGTTATTTAAATATTTAATATTTACTATTTATAATTGCCTAAAGTAATGACCCTGATATTTAAATGTATGTCACATGATCCTTCACAAATCATTCTAATATCTAAATATCTACTGCTCAAGAAATATTTTTTATCAATACTGAAAACAGTTGTCACTTTATATTTTTGTGGCAACAGTGATACATTTTTAGAAAGTTCAATAGATCTAGATGTTTAAAAAAAAAATTGTAACAATATACAGTGCCATGAAAAGGTTTTTGCCCCCTTCCTGTTTTTTTTTTTTTTTGTGTGTGTATTTGTTACACTTAAAATATGCAGATCATCAAACAAATTTTAATATTACACAAAGATAATGCAAGTAAATACAAAATGCAGTTTTTAAATGATCTGAAAAGCTGTCCAAACCTACCTGGCCCTACGTGAAAAATTAATTGCCCCCTCCTGTTAAATTATGAAAGAACTATGATTAACCACATTATTTTAGAAAGCTGAGTTAAATTTCACTAGCCACACCCAGGCCTGACCTGTTGAATCAAGAAATCACTTAAATAGAACCTGTCTGACAAAGTGAAGCATGCTTATAGAGCAACACATCATGCCACGATCTAAAGAAATTCAAGAACAGATGAGAAACAAAATAGTTAACGTATCCGTCTGGAAAGGGTTATAAAGCCATTTCTAAGGCTTTGGGACTCCAGTGAACCACGGTCCGAGCCATTATCCACAAATAGACAAAACTTGGAACAGTGGTGAACCTTCCCAGGAGTGGCCAGCCTACCAAAATTACTCCAAGAGCGCAACGACGACGACTCATCCAGGAGGTCATAAAAGAACCCAGAACAACATCTAAAGAACTGCAGGCCTCACTTGCCTCAATTAAGGTCAGTGTTCATGATTCAACAATAAGAAAGAGACTGGGCAAAAACGGCATCCATGGGAGAGTTCCAAGGCAAAAGCCATTGCTGACCAAAAAAAACACAAAGGCTCCTCACATTTGCCAAAAAATATCTTGATTGTCTCCAAGACTTTTGGGCAAATATTCTGTGGACTGATGAGACAAAAGTTGAACTTTATGGAAGGTGTGTGTCGCGTTACATCTGGCGTGAAACCAACTCAGCATTTCATAAAAAGAACATCATACCAACAGTCAAACGTGGTGGTGGTAGTGTGATGGTCTGGGGCTGCTTTGCAGCTTCAGGACCTGGACAACTTGCCATAATTGATGGAACCATGAATTCTGCACTCTATCAGAAAATCCTGAAGGAGAATGTCCGGCCGTCAGTTTGTGACCTCAAGCTCAAGCACACTTGGGTTATGCAGCAGGACAATGATCCCAAACACACCAGCAAGTCAACAAAATTAAGGTTTTGGAGTGGTCAAGTCAAAGTCTGGACTTAAATCCGATTGAGATGCTGTGGCATGACCTTAAACAGTCCATTCATGCTAGGAAACCCTCCAATGTGGCTGAATTAAAACAATTCTGCAAAGAAGAGTGGGCCAAAATTCCAGTTGTTGCTGCAAAGGGTGGCACAACCAGTTATTAGGTTTACTTTTTCACGCAGTTTGGACAGCTTTTTTTCCTTAATAAATGAAATAATCATTTCAAAACTGTATTTTGTATTTACTTGGGTTATCTTTGTGTAATATTAAAATTAGTTTGATCTGAATCTTTTAAGTGTGACAAATATGCAAAAAATTAAAAAAAACAGAAAGGGGGCAAAAACCTTTTCACGGCACTGTACCTGTACATGCCACTTCTGATTAATTTAATGTTCTTGCTTAAAGAGATAGTTCACCTAATAATGAAAATTCTGTCATTAATTACTCACCCTCATGTCATTCCAAACCTGTAAGACCTTCGTTCATCTTTGGAACACATTGATCAAATCTTTCTGACCCTCCATAGACAGCAATGCAACTAACACATTTAAGGCCCAGAAAGGTAGTAGGTAGTAAGTTAAAACAGCCCATGTGACATCAGTTCTTCAACCATAATTTTAGGAAGCTATGAGAATAATTTTTGTGCGCAAAGAAAAAAAAAAAAGACTTTATTCAACAATTTCTTCTCTTCCGTGTCAGTCTCCACCACCATTCATGAGAGTACCACGACACATGCGTGAGGTGCTGCTGACGCAGGAGCCAGCACAAATAGAATTTGTGTTCCAAAGATGAACGAAGGTCTTACGGGTTTGGAACATGAGGGTGAGTAATTAATGACAGAATTTTCATTTTTGAGTGAACTATCCCTTTAAGTGTTTATTTCATAATGAACCCAAGTATTAAAAAAATCTTTCCAAACTTAGTGTCGTGTATATTGTATTTCTTCTTCATTTTATGGCACAACTTTGTTCTTCTTTGTTTGAAAAATGTCACAATCCTAAAACATTTCCAGCTATATTTTCAATATTTCGGATTTCAGACATTTCAGTACATCAATTCACACATATTATTACTATTATTTCTTTAGGTGTAAAAACATTTTACATGTAAAATGTTTGCTTAGAGTACCCAGAAAGCATCTTTAGATGGTGCAATTACCTGAAC